TTCCTCCGCTGGGAAATCGGTAGCTAAATTCCTGACGTACGATATTGTGTTGGAGTCCGCAATTCTTTCTGACTCGGCCCTTATCTGCATTGCACCGCAGTATCGAAGCACAAATTCAGACAACGTTGTATGCTTGTTAACATAACCTTTGAAAAAGTGATTGAAACTTTCCGATCGTTGGGCCGTTTTCATCCCGGCCCAGAATAAATGCTTCAGATACGCTGGGATCCACATGTGCCTTTCCTCATACAACCCTACATTTCAAAAAATTGCAATTACTGGCTTATCTAAAACCAAACAAACCTCATACACCTGGACTCCTGTGAATGCTACATTCATTGTCTCTGAAATGTGCCACAAATATGAAAATTGGAAAAAAATAACATTAAGTGCTACAAAAGTCTACCACTAAACCTGCTCCTACTCTAAGTCAAAACTGAAATAGCTTCCAGTCCCCTGCACACAGCTAGCTACACCACCTCTGCATACTCTAACAGAAAAAAAAAACAAACAAAACATATGGAAGTGTAGTACTTTCAAGCCAACTATTATCTCCTAGTTTGTAATAATCAATTGCGTCCGCCTAACGATCTACAAATTCATCAGCATCTAAACTACCATAAATGATATTTTCAAACTCATCCTTTACAGCTTCATAGTCCTCATGCTTACCAACATACCTCCCAAACTTCTGAAGTATGTGCCATATGCACTACCTATGGTAACTCTCAGGCATAGTCAAGTTTACAACTTTCCTAATCGCCGGATCTTGATCCGTTAGGATTGAGATAGGAGCTTTACCCCCCATGCAATGTAGCCAAGTCCTCAACACCCACTCATATGTCTCCACCGTCTCCCGAGAGATCAATGCACACCCAAACAAAATACTCTGCCCATGATGGTTCACACCGATAAACACAGCAAAGGGAAGGTGAAATTTGTTTGTCAAATACGTACTGTCAAAACACACAACATCTCCAAACTCCTCATACGCAGCTCTACTCCTTGCGTCTACCCACACAACATCTTGTAATGCGTCGTCCTTCCCAACCCGACATAGATGGAAAAAATTCTGATTGTTGGCACTCATTTTTGTTGAAGTATTCTATCATGCCATTTGCATCACCCTCAGTAAGCTCAAGTCTGGTTTTCTGAGCCACTGCATTCTCTAAGTCTCTTTGTGTAAATGTCATCTCCTCCACTCCATTACGCTCCCGAGCATAACAACTGTACATTTGGGATACCTTCACCTTAGACTTCTTCGCCATATGCACCTGCTTGACTAAGTGATTGTTTTTCACCATTAACTCGTGGTTCCGGTACATTGCTACATCCTTTGATTTTCCCAAAGTAACAATGTGACCTTTGTGCTCCAAATTCAGCCTTCGAACAACCCAGTTCCCTTCCTCATTAACACTGGCATACAACTCCACAGGACAACTGCACTCTTTAGTCTTTCGTTTCTGAAGTGTCTCCTCATCTTGCATCAACCCTTCCTTCAGTGCATCCTGTTTACGCTTCCTTGAAGCATAACCATAACAGTCACAAATCCACTTAGCATTCCTTCTCTCCTGACAACACTTTCCCTTTTCCAATTCTTTCTTCACATCCACCCACCCAAAAGCAGCCCTCACTATACTAAAACCCTTTTGTCTAGCATAACTCCAGAAATAGGTATCCAACTCATCCCAACCCCCAAATACCATGCCCAAAGTTGGGGGTGGTACTTCCTCTTCCACACAAAACACAGTGTTCACCATTACCGTGTTCTTCTTTGGGGTTATGAATGTAATACCCATAATTTTTCTATTTTAAGTTTCGGGGACAAAACTTGTTTTAAGGAGGGTAGATTGTAATACTCGAATATTTTAAAATTTTATCAAATATATTTTATGGCTAAATAAGATATTTTAAATTATTTTATAAATTCGATCTTATACTCTGTTTATGTTATCCTATAAAATTATCTTAAACCCTATTTTAATCTAAATATGACTATATTTGTAAGCATATATGAACTATTTAAACCCTAAAGATTTTACACATCATATATAAATTACTGATCAAGGCAGCCGTACGTGATTTATTTTATAACTTTAACCTTTGCAATTTGCGTGCTTCCATGAACATAATTGTTTCACGCACAATACCTTCAATTTGTGGGCTTATGATAAATTAAGTTCATTTGATGACATTATCACTTTGCCGAGATCGTTTTACATGAATTATCATTAGCGAAAAGAAGCACATGTTTGTAGAATTCTTTTATGTATGACCTTAGTTTTTACGAAAGATCTTGGAGTTTTATTTCCGGAAAGGTAATCACTCTATACCATATCAATTTGGAGACGTTTGTATTATTTTTATTATTATATGAAATCACACTAATCTTAATTCTTGGAATTGTATGATGATATATTGTTTGTATTGATTATACTTTGTATTGTTGTGTGCAAAATTTATACTTTGTATGATCAAGATTTATATATGTGTGATTATTGTGTTGTATTATATGATTTAAATTTTCTTGTTGTATATGATTGATTGCATAAATATATATATATATATATATATATATATATATATATATATATATATATATATATTAGGGTTTCTAATGTTGTTGCTATAGGGAGTATTGTTTTATTGAGGTTTAGGGTTATTAATGCAGAGTATTATTTTTGGGTTGTGAGTTAATTATATTTAGGAACTAGTATGTTTGCCCTGTAAGTGTTGAGATATTATATGAATCGAGTACGTCACGTTATATAATTTGGGAACCTGTGCCATTGTTGAGATATTGTTTATTAACCTGTGAATGGTTATTTGATCAAGTATGAGATCAAAAGGGTTGAGAATTATTATTTTGTTCTTGGTTTGAGGCTCGATGTTAATTACCTTAGTCCTTGGCATGTTGGTAAGGAGATAATGATCATGAGTTAAGAATGAGGTACAATCTTTATTTATATTTTTTTGTGGTCCCCTACAGTGGGATTTGACCCATATTGGTCATGTTTAGAGGTGTTTTCTGGTTATTGAGAGTATTCAAGTTTTTATACTTGTTGGTTTATTTATTCGAATTACTCATGTCCAAGGCTAGGTATAAGACAAAGAGTGTGGCACACTTATGGGATAAATGAGTTAATTGAGTAAAGGATTGTATTATTATTTGAGGTTGAGTTTGACAAAGGTTATTTTCAGAGTACGGAGTTATTTTACCCTTGAGGTGTATATGTGTAATGTAGTTTCGAACTACATTGTTTTAAGTGAGTTAATAATATTAATTATTCTATTGTTCTTTGTATTTTGATCGGTGGTGATTACTCAGCTTTTTTGCTGACGTGTGTGTTGTTTTGTTGTGCTACTTGTGTTTGCGGCCATGTCTTTTTCTTATGGTGGCCCTGCGACGATCTATTTTGGAATTTGTCCTTAATGGTGAGCAGTCAAGTTTGTCTAAACAGGTTGATCAAGTGATCATAGCTAAAGGAGCTCAAGTGTTTCGATTAGTATTTTATAACAAGTCTGTAAAGTTGTATAAATAGCTCACCTAGTTTATTGGGTTGTAATTATTGGGATTTTGTAAGCCTTAACACTTGACAAGTTGTTGAGTGTGGCGGTAATACCTCCGATTTAGGTGTATACTTCCGCATTTTTTATTCAAAGGTTGTTTATTTTTCCTTTATTTATTATTTATTAATAGCTAGTAAATTGGGGGTGTTACAATGAATGAGGAACCTTCTACACCAGCCCCATCAAACTCCCCTTCAACACCAGGCTCAACTTCATCTTCTTCATAATCTGCCCCCTTATCCTCAACCTCTAGACCTCCCCCCTCTTCAACCTCCTGCTCATCTCCTTCTCTAAATCCATCATCACTCTCTAATCTCTCCTCATAAACAGATACATCATCTTCGCCACCATCTCTATAGCCATCACCAACATCCACCTAATTCACATATACAAGTATGACTCATTCTAGATAAAGCATTACAACAAACAACCAATAACCAAATCATACACAAAAACACCAAACCCAACATACTATATCATCACATAATTCATAACAAATCAATCCAACCACAACAACTTCCCATGCAAACCCACAATCCCATCACTGTCAAGGAAAAACCACAAGCTCAATACTTTTTTTCCCTTCTTTGACAACAACTGGTTCGAAAAAAGACAAGCTTTTTTTTTTTGCCTTTTCTTTCTTTTTTTTTTTTTCCAATTTTTCACACCAACAGGTTCTAAAATAAATTAATTACACTAAAAGAATTAGGAGATACTCATCCTTTACTCCATTCCCATTCTAAAACAACACATTCCCAAAAATTATAATACAAACAACAAATTTCATCAACTCAAGTACAATACCCATTTTACCAAATAACAATGAACAATCAACATTCATATCAAAGATTTCCTCAATTAAACAATACCAATTAGCCATATATTGACTCAATTACTTGGATTGAAGTTCAAATGAAATTTACAACAAACGGCCCTAACCCTATTATTCTAATTAAAAAACTCTACATTTCATAATTACCCACTTCAAACGCTCAATTATAACCCTCAATTTAAAAAAACAACACTAACAAAGGTAAATACTTACATTCTCAGCGTCGACTCGCAATTCCCTTGCGCATCCATGCCGGACTTCGCCATCTTCCACCAATGCTTTGGCTAGATCGACACCCAAAATGTGGCCTAAATGATTTCTCATCCTGATAATCTACTTCACCACTATTTATTTGCAATTTGGTCTTTAGAATTCAAGAATATAAGAACAGTGATGTCGCCATTATTCATGAGCTTCCATTCTCATTTTTTTTTCCCTCCATTTCCAATTCCCGCTTCTTTTTCTCTTTTTCCTTCCCCCGTTTTGCTTTTACTGTACCGTTACATGTGGGCCCACTCTCCTTCACCAAACTTCATTTTATTTTCACAATTGCCATCCTATACACTACTAATTCCATAGCTACTATGCGCCAATAGTTATCCGGCTTGCACAACTATTGAGAGTGAACGGTTGAGTGTCTAACCTAACCACTACCTTGCCTGTTACTTTGTCACGAGTATTCGGTCAATAAAAGCCGGAAAAAATACGAATTTCCATGTTGAACCTTGATTATAAAGAGAAAACGAATCAACAGTACCCCATATAAGTAATATGCCCCACTTCCACCCTAACATCCACCCACCAAAAAAAGCAAGGTCAAATTCTCCAACTGCTCAGTACATTTGCCTTTTCAATTCTAAAAATGTAACCGACCATTTAAATTATTATTCTTATTCCCATTAATTTTCATTAATTCGACTGTTAATTCCTTGAAAAAGTAGTTCAAAATTGGAAATTCTGGTTGTTCTTCGCCATTTTCGTGTAAATTGTTGACATAGAAGAGAGAAAATGGGTCATGGAAATTCGAAAGATTCTTCTTCATCATCTCATAGTCGCAGAGCAAAGTTGCGGCAAAAACTGCGGCGTGTTGTGCGGCGTGATAGTCGTTTGAAGCAATCTGGAAATGGATTTAAGTTGGTTTCTGCAGATGATTTCGCCGGAATCGCTCTTCTTACTCTCATCTCTGTATGTTTTCTCTCTTTTGACTTTTTATTATTATTTTATTGCTTTACGTACTTTGTACTTTTATACGATTCACGTACTCGGCACTCGTTCGTACTTGTGTTTGTGAGTATATTACGAAGTATTTATTTATTTTGTTTTACTCACTTCGAGTTTAGGTTTCTTTTATGTTTTTTATACAAAATTCTTTTAATTTATTATTCAATTGGAAAAAAAAAATGGTAATCCATAGTGTGTATTCATAATTTCAACATTTTAATACTCCTTTTGTTTTAAAGTGGCCCGGTTAACTTTTTGCACTAGTCACATAGTTTACGACTCTACATAATAATTGGATATACGTAGTATTTTTGTTATGTATTACTAACTTTTTTTTGAAGTATTTCAAGCAAATTAAAGAAACTTAGAGAGTACAAATAATTTGTGTTAAGAACTTTTTGATTTCAAATTTTTAGGATATAATTACTATATGCTATTCAGTAGTGGTGGATGTCAATCCTTAACAATTGGTGGATGTCATTGCTTAACAATGTCTCACTTGAAGAGGGATCATAATCTGCCTTCACGCCTTACTCCATTCAGCACAACTTTCTCGTATGTTACTTAAGCATGCCAACTATGTCAATAGTTACTTCTTTGTTAAGATATCTCCGCCAGATTCGTAGTTCCTTGTGTTTTCTCTAGTGTTAGCACTTCATCTTTTAATAGAGATCTTGATTTTTATCGAAGTCCGTTATGCTTAGTTCTATACTGTAATGCTGAATTTATTGCCAAGTGCATTGCACTTTGACTCTCAGTGTACAATACATTATTTTCTTAACTGCATCCCAACTCAGTTAACAAACAACCTTGAAGCAGTATCATCTACTTATCGCTGTATTTCCAACTGCAAATATATAATCTATGGTGCTTTTATGGTTGTACTTTTTATTCACCTTTATCAAAGTACAGACACTTATCCTTGGTACCTCGTAGATACTTTATATCCATTCTGCTGCTTCCTAATGAACCTTGATTTGACATATGAAGTAGCAAACATTTCCCACTGCAGGTTTAATATCTGGTCTTGCATAAACCTTTGCGTACATCAAACTCCCAATGGCTGGGCATAAGGAAACTGCTGGGAATCAGTGTAACAATGTAGGCTGGAGACTAAGCTAACAATGGCAGCCTTAGCACGTTGTATTACTCAACAAGGAAAAACAGTAATACACCTTCTTTCGAGAGGAAGGAGCTCTCCCAACTACAGACTTCTGTAATTAATTATTTTCTAATATCTCATTACAAAAACAAACCTCCTATTAATACCCCCAATTAACAGCCTATCCCAAGCTAAGGCATGCCAGCACCATAACAAACTAATAACAAACTGATAACAAACTGTTACAGCAAATTATTATTATACCCTTCTACCCCAAAATTGGTTATAACAAACATCCAGCTCAGCAAGCCTATAACAGATTCTTCTTGGGTCTTCTAGAGTATGTAAAACGGAAATTGGGCTCGGGCTGGTTCCTAGCAATACCTCCCACCCAAGCTTGCACCTTGTCCTCAAGGTGGAAATCAGGAAACCTGAGATTAACTTCATCAAAAAATTCCCAAGTTGCTTCAAAGGCTTGCAAACCCGTCCAGTGAATCAAAACTTCCATAGAGGCTTGAGAATTCCTCACACCCAACACTTCCCATGGTTCAACCTCCAAAATTAAGTCCGCAGTCAGCTGTGCAGGAAGGGTAGTGGGACGGTGACCAGTACCTAAGGCTTTTTTAAGCTGTGAAATATGAAAAACAGGGTGGATCTTCGTACCAGGGGGAAGCTGCAGCTTATAGGCCACCTTACCAATCTTCTGGAGCACTTGGTAAGGGCCATAGAAACGAGGAGAGAGCTTATCATTTGATCTTCGTACCAGGGATCTTTGCCGGTAAGGCTGTAATTTCAGATATACCAGGTCACCCTCCTGAAATTCCCCATCACGCCTTCCCTTGTTCTCATAAGCTTGCATATAAACTTGAGCTTGAGTTAGGTGAAATTTCAGATCATCGAGTACAGCATCACGCTCTAGTAACTGTGCCTCTACTGAAGCCACAGAGGTACTGCCAGAAGCAAATCTCACCAATTGAGGGGGGTCCCGTCCATAGAGAGCCTTGAAAGGGGTGTAATTAGTGGCCGTGTGGAATGATGTATTATACCAATATTCAGCCCAAGGTAACCATCGTGCCCATGTATGGGGTTTGCCATTCACAAAACACCTCAAATAAGATTCCACTCCTTTGTTCACAACCTCAGTTTGACCGTCTGAGGGTGATAAGCTATACTGCGCATGAGTTGAGTGCCCTGTAACCTGAACAACTCCTTCCAGAAAACGCTAAGGAACACCTTATCTCGGTCCGAAACAATTGAACTGGGAAACCCATGTAGCTTAACAATTTCTGCCATGAAGATATATGCCACACTTTGAGCAGTAAAAGGGTGCTTGAGAGGAATAAAGTGGCCGTACTTGGATAATCGATCTACTACCACAAGTATGGTGTCCCAACCCGAAGATTTCGGTAACCCTTCTACAAAATCCATGGATATATCCTCCCAAACTCTTTCCGGGATTGGCAAAGGTTGGAGAAGACCCAAGGGAGATAATGTCGAGTGCTTGTTCTGTTGGCAAATATGGCAGTGTTGAACGTACTGTGTCACGTCTTTGCGCATCCCAAACCAGAACCATTCTCCTGCTAGACGTTGATAAGTTTTTAGATCACCAGCGTGCCCACCTACTGCGGAGTCATGGTACTCCCTCAGCAGCTTGGTCGTGAGCTCACATCGCTTCGGGATCACTATCCTGCCTTTGTACTTTAAGATCTCGTTTTCCAGAGAAAACCACTTGGGGGCTGCCTCCCCATTCTTAATCTGAGAAATTATGCGTTGTTGAGCTTCATCCTTGTCAATGAAAGCCCGTACATAATCCCATCTCAGCCCACATGAAGAGACCATGGTTCCACACTCAAATTCGGGATTGTGTTGGCGGGAAAGAGCATCTGCTACTTTGTTAGTAACTCCTGGTTTATAGTGAATATCGAAAGTATATCCCAGTAATTTGCTTATCCATTTCTGATATGCCTGACCCACCTCCCTTTGCTCCAACAAGTACTTCAGGCTTCGCTGGTCTGTACGGACGCTGAAATGTCGGCCCAACAAATAATGCCTCCATTTCTCAACAGCAAACACAATTGCCATCAGCTCTTTCTCATATATGGGCTTTTCTCTATTTCTGCTCCCCAAAACCTTGCTGTAATAAGCAATAGGGTGCTCTGCTTGTAGCAGGACAGCCCCTTAGCCATGCCCCGAAGCATCTGTTTCAATCACAAAGGCCATAGAAAAATTAGGTGCAGCTAAGATTGGAGCATTCACCATGGCAGCTTTTAAAGTATTGAAAGCTAAAGTGGCTTCCTCGGTCCACCCAAAGTTGTCCTTTCGCAGCTACTCAGTCAAGGGAAGGGCAATGTTAGCATACCCTTTGATGAATTTGCGGTAGTACCCTGTGAGGCCTAAGAACCCCCTGAGTTGTTTTAGGTTCATGGGCGGTGGCCAATCTAGCATAGCCTGTATCTTGGAAGAATCAACTTCCACTCCTGCAGCCGAGATCACATGCCCCAAGTACGCTACTCTTTCTCTGCCAAATTCACATTTCTTGAAATTGGCGTACAGGCTATGGTCAGCCAAAGTTTGCAGTACTTGCTGTAAATGATTTTTATGTGAATCCACACAGGGGCTGTAAACCAAAATGTCATCGAAGAATACCAGAACAAACTTCCTTAAAAAAGGTCGGAACACTTCATTCATGAGAGACTGAAAAGTAGCAGGGGCGTTGGTCAGCCCGAACGACATTACCAGAAATTCGTAATGTCCTTCGTGGGTTCGGAAAGCTGTTTTATGCACATCCTCAGGCTTCACCCGAATCTGATGGTACCCCGATTTGAGGTCTAGTTTTGAAAAGACTGCTGCTCCTCCCAGTTCATCCAACAGTTCATCAATGACGGGTATCGGAAATTTGTCGGGGACCGTTTCTTTGTTAAGGGCCCTGTAATCAACACAAAAACGCCAGGATCCATCCTTCTTTTTAACCAAGAGAACCGGGCTGGAATACGGGCTTGTTGAGGTCTGAATTATCCCTGCGCTGAGCATGTCCGACACCAACCTCTTAATTTCATCTTTCTGGGTTTGAGGATACCGGTATGGCCTGACACTAACCGGATTGGCCCCACTCCGTAACACAATGGCATGCTCAATATGTCTCTGAGGTGGTAAACCAGCAGGCATATGAAAAACCTGCTGAAACTCCTGGATTAGAGGTCTAAAAACCTCCGGAATGTTCGGCTCCTTCTCCTCTGATTTTTCTGAGTGGTTCAATTCCAACAAGTAACCAAACCCTTCCTTCTGTAAATTTTTGAACATGGCCTTCAAAGAAATGCCAGTCCGCCCCAAATGTGGATCACCCTTCAAAGTGATGGTGCTTCCCTCCCACTGAAATTTCAGTGTCTGATTTTTCCAGTTCGTGGCAATTGTGCCTAACTTCTCTAACCATTGAATTCCCAAAATCATGTCTGAGTTACCCAGAGGGAGTATGAGGAAATCTTCAATGATTGAGATTCCCTGAATGTCGAGCAAAACCCCCTTACAAATCCCTTCTCCTTGCACCGCTTCTCCATTACCGAGAGTTACTCCAAAACTTCTGGTTTCTATGGGGTTTAGACCTAATTTTTGAGCTGCTTCACTAGACACAAAATTATGAGTAGCCCCGGGGTCAATCATCACAACCACGGGGTTCTCATTTACTACTCCTACCATACGCATTGTTTTAGGATTAGTTAAACCCATAACAGAACTTAAAGATACCTCAGGTGAGATAACTGGACCACTGGACCTGGAGAAAGTGGCTGGAGTACATCGGTTTTCGCCTCAACCATAGATAGCTCACCGTTGTCATCTTCATCCAGCTCTTCTTCCATGAGCATCACACTCAACCCCCTTCGGCTACAACGGTGGTTTAGGTTCCATTTCTCGTCACAACGGAAACATAGGCCTTGTTCCCGTTTTTGTTGCAGCTCCTTCTCCGTCAACCGCCTTATTTCGCCGGTGGGTTTGGTATTGTTAGGGAATGGTCGAGCTGGGGGAAGATATTTATGGGTAGTGTTTGTGTTTGTGGAGTTTTGGTTAGGGTTCTGGATATTTGAGTGGCTGGACAGAAAGTTGGTGTTTAGGTTTGGGTTATTTTTAACAGATGGGCTTGGGGTTCTCCAGGAAGGTAGGTTGCCAAAGGACTTGGGCTTTGGGCTGATTTTCAACTTCTCCTCAACCCTCATAGATAACTCCATAGCATGGTCCAACGAAACCGGATCTAATAAACGGACCTCCACCCTTATTTCATCCTTGAGACCATTCAAATACTGGCTCTTAGCTATTTCTTCAGGAACATCATCAATGGGGGCTAGGAGCTCAATAAACCGCCTCCGGTAGTCGACCACGGTGCCGGACTGGTAGTGGGCCAGCCACTGCTCGTGCAACGAGCCCGTTGCGGTGGTTCTGAAACGGCGTAGGATTATTCTTTTCAGCGCATCCCACGACCGCAAGGATTGCCGCCGATTCTCCCATTGATACCAGAGGAGTGCGTCGCCGTCCAACGCCACCACGGCCGCCTCTAGCTTGTCTTCTTCAGAGAGGCGGTAGAAGTGGAAGAATCGCTCAGCACGAAGGATCCAACCATCTGGATTCGTTCCATCAAAAACCGGTAAGTCCAGTTTCCTCAATTTCCAGTTCACATGACCCCCGTGAAATCCTTCCTCCGGTTGCGGTTGTGGATGCGAAGAAAACGGGTTGTCCCAATTATCGGGGGTTCCGTTTTCTTGAGAAGATCGGAGCTCCGATCGGAGTCTCTCCTGTCCTGCTGTAATTTGGTTCGCGATTTCAGCTTTGAGAGTGTCCATCGCGGTGGAGATCTCTCGGGCCACGCGCGCAGGTAACCCAACAATTTCTTGTTCCAGGAGATCCAAGCGTTGCCCGTGGTTCAAGCGAGCCATCACTGTCCCTGCCTAGATCGTTACGGCTCTGATACCAAATTTGCTGGGAATCAGTGTAACAATGTAGGCTGGAGACTAAGCTAACAATGGCAGCCTTAGCACGTTGTATTACTCAACAAGGAAAAACAGTAATACACCTTCTTTCGAGAGGAAGGAGCTCTCCCAACTACAGACTTCTGTAATTAATTATTTTCTAATATCTCATTACAAAAACAAACCTCCTATTAATACCCCCAATTAACAGCCTATCCCAAGCTAAGGCATGCCAGCACCATAACAAACTAATAACAAACTGATAACAAACTGTTACAGCAAATTATTATTATACCCTTCTACCCCAAAATTGGTTATAACAAACATCCAGCTCAGCAAGCCTATAACAGATTCTTCTTGGGTCTTCTAGAGTATGTAAAACGGAAATTGGGCTCGGGCTGGTTCCTAGCAGAAACTTAGCCATATATTCTTTATCTTCTTCTTCCGTATGAGGAGACTGGTCCTTGGATAATCAAAAGTGACTTGCGTGTTGTTTGGCTTAACGTTACTCATATTAAATCTTTGTCAACACATTTGATGTACTATTCTTGAGGTAATTGCAAAATACCTTTATGTTTATCATTGACATAAAGTAGTAAGATGATATAACTTGATTGATATCTCGTAATGTAGCATTAGTGGTTTGCGTTGCACTTCTCTTAGGCCATACAAACTTTTTTTTAAGTTAGCACACCGTATATTCCTTCCCATTTTTTAAGAAACCTTATGGTCAATGCGTGTATATTTCTTCATCCAAATCACCATGAAGAAATGTTGTTTTCATGTCTAATTGCCCATGATGAAGATCTGCAATGGCAATAATACTCAACACTGTTTTAGAGGTATTGAGTTTCACAACATGTGCAAACTTCATTGTAGTCAACTCCTTTTTGTTGGAATCCTTTGACTACTAATCGAGCTTTTTATCTCTTAGAACCATCATGCTCTTTTTTCACTTGATATACCCATTTGTTGTGATTCTTGTGAAGTGCCTTTTTTACCCATAGGTAACTCAGCTACTTTCCATGTCTGCCTTGAAATAAAAAGATTTCATCTCATCTTTCATTGCAAGGTCCCACTTGCCATTCTGTCCTTAATCAATCAATACTGATAATTCATGTATTTTATGTTAGGATCATGAGGCTGAGAAGTCCTTCTCACGACTAGGAGATTGTGGTGTAATGGAATGGGTTGTATTGTTTTGTCTAACGTGTTCTTAGGCGCTGCCTCTTTGAAGTGAGGCGCACTATATAAAGGTGTGCCTAGTGTGGGCCTAACCGGCACCTAACCAAAAACGCCTCGCCAAACCAAGTTAAGCGCTTACCCCATATCGCCTTGCGCCTCAGCTCCTTAGGCGCGCTTTTTCAAACACTGATCCTTGATTCCTTGTACATGACTGTTTCATTGGAAATCACGTCACTAGTATGAATCACCTATTAATTTTCATCATCCCTGATGCGATATCCAAACCAGTGTTTGAAAAAGCGCACCTAGGCGCAAGGCGTTAAGGGTCATGTGCTTTTTGTGGTCTAGGTGAGGTGACTTCGATGAGGCGTATCTAAGGCGTGCCAAGGTGCAGCTTAAGGGTACTAAGGCGCACAAAGATTTTTTCAGATTTTTTTTTATTGTTTATTATATGCGCCTCACTTCAATGAGGCGCGCCTCGCCTTAGGCGCAAAGAGCTCTGAAACGCCTTGGTGCGCCTTGAGTCTTTTTATACATTGATCCAAACTCATCCCCGTCATAACTAAATTGCCAATCGTGGCAAAAGAAAATGGGACAATCAGTAGAAAATAGAATGAATACTTGTTTGTATACTTGTTTCAGAACTTGGTTTCCTCTTGCCTTTATGCAACATTTTCTCTAATAGGATTTGCATTTGATTGTTTGATGAAGAGGGAAAGCGATACCATATACCGTATAGGTTTCTATAACACATGAAGTTAAATTTTTAGTCTTAGCATGAGTTATTGTTACCCTCATTTTTGAGCTCTATTTGGGCAAAATAAACCTAGGAGAACTCAAGAGGGGGGGGGGGCATTGGCTTTTAAGATTAAAAACTGAAATTTCTTTTGTCTAGAAGTTTATTTTGTAACATGATTAGCATGTAACTCAAAGTAATAAAGTTTATGATTTATATATATAGGCAAAGATGACTTTTAAAGACAAATGGTTGGCCTGTGTTACGCTGGGAGAACAGACTTTCCGCACAGACATCAGCGATCAGTTAGTATCTTTGGAGTGTTGTGGTACAAGGATTATATGAGAATCTTTGCACGATTTTATCCATTTGGAAGAGCTATACATTTGGTTGTTGTGTTTGATACGTTGATGTATAAAGTATAGAAGTCCATTGCTAGCTTTGACGTTTTTCCCAAGCTTCCCAACACTTTTTTATCCTTCTCATTGTCAACATGATTCATTGAGCTTTGATATGAATTTCTTGACCAATTCAGCAACCCAGATTTTCTTCATTTTATATTTCCAAGCAGCAATAACATACATGATTGGTATGAATTAGCTGTTGTTTGGATCTTTGCCATGAATACTATGATGTACTTTTGTGCTCTGCTCCTGTCAACATGATCTTTTGCTAGCTCATTTTCAATATAAAGTCTATGGTATTTACTAGCTAATTTTCCATTTCTGATGTCATCAGAATCTTCATCACTAACACTTTTACATACATACTGAAAAAGTTTCTAAAATTTAAATTGGATTATTATCCCTACATGTAAGATTTTGAGCAATTTTAACAATGGCTTCCATGCTTTGGAAGTTGCATATTGTATTGCTGTTGTCATATTATTAGTTTATTACCACCATAAGCTGGAATTACGAGAGGTGTTACAAAGAAAGGAGTGATACTTCTTTTGTGCTTAGCTTATTACTTGCTGTTGCTCTTTTATTTTAGTTTTACCTTTACCTTTTCCTTTATTTTAAATGAACATTATAAATATATCCAAAGTCTGAAATTTTTTTTTTTTTTTTTTTTGTAGGATTATAATGAAGATGGCTGCCTTTCTTTCTCTGAATTCTCTCAGTTGATTGATGCATTTGGCAATCAAGCTGCAGCTGACAAGGTCTGTCATCTTTTTTACTTTTCAGGATGAATATGTGTAGTTTTAGAAAGTTTGGTTTGTATCTTTATTATGTTTCTGAGAAACTGTATTTTATTCCGTTCTTTGTAGAAAGACGAGCTTTTCAAGGATGCAGATAAAAACGGGGATGGAGTTGTTAGCATCGACGAATTGGCTTCCCTCCTTTCCTATCATCAAGAAAAGTATGTTGTTCCTTCAAAAAAAAAAAAAAAAAAAAAGAAAAGTATGTTGTGTAAGAGCTTGATTTAATTAGCCTAAGAAATATAATTGGGATCTCATTATCGGTTCACGCCTTCACGGGTAGATTTTTAAAATTTTTAAATTATGTTATTAACTTTTTATACATGAATTTCCTCAATAAAATGTGGGTTTAAATTGCTATCAGCTTAGTTGCCCGGTACTTAGTTTGTAAAAAAAAAAAAAAAATTGCTAGAATGAAATATGGTAGTAATGAAATTTTTTTTATGATACTTGTAGGAGAATAGATTATTGATGCAAATAATTTAAGTATTAGTAGAAGGTGATCTATGCAAGGCTTTAATGGAGTTTGGATTATATCAATATTATTTTTAACATCATCACCAAGGTCTCTTAGAGGTTAGGGCTTATCTCAACCTAAGATAATTGGTTTTTTGTTTTTGTTTTTTTTTTTTTTTTTTAACTTGTAAGCTTCTCTAATATAGCTAAGAATCAGTAGGAATACTGCCATTAAGTGCCAACAGAATGATCAGGTTGTTTTCTTTTAATGCATGTTGGTGATTCCTAAATCCAATGTCCACTTAAGTCAACTAGTTAATGTCACTCTTGGATGTTGTAAGACAAATTTGCTGCAACATATACAAAAGCAAAAGGTGAGAGGAATACTTAGTCAATGAACAATTGCAATTTGTAGTGATGGAGGATTTGAAGATTGAATTACCCACGTGGTAATTCCCTATACCATGACTTTCCATCCCCCTATGGTACTTCCATTCCCTTTCTTGCAACCACACCCATCCAACCACCGCCACATTCATCATCATTACCACCACCACTACCTTCATCTCCACCACCATATATCAATACCACCACCCATAACAAATCAAACCACACCTTAACCACCTAAAACCACCATTATCACCTCGTAACCACCCCACCGTTCATCCAAAATTGGCCTTACCTTCCCTGAAATCACGCCTCACCTACCTCGAAACCACCCCCACTCACCCTTAAATTTCATCCCCTTGAAAACCCCCTTCCATATAAAAGCTACCAACAACCCTAAAATTTGAAAAAAAAAAGGATTAAAAATGAGTAATTACCTTTTCTTATTTTCAATTATGGCTTTTGAAAGGTCGAATTTGACCATGAAAACTGTAGTTGTAGAGTTTTCTTATTCAAATTTGACCATTAAAACCTGAAATTTGAGCTTCAATGGTGGTGATGAAACAAAAAGAGGAGAGAAAGGGCTGCAGTGCCAGCAAGGCGAAGGGGCGGGAATGGTGGGGAGGTGGCGGCTAGGTGAAGGGGGGACGACGGTGGTGGGTAGGCGGCAAGGAAGGGTGGTAGCGACATATAAACAAGGGATAAGGTGGTGGTGGTGCAATGGTCAGAGGAGAAAGAGTTTTGAATGACCAAATATTACCAAACAACAATTTAATTCAAAGGGTTTTTCTTTCAATTCTCTCTTACCCTTTCTTAATTCCATTTCATTTACCCCATGTGAATCAAACAGCCCTTATTATTTGTGTGCTTTTGTAAGCAATAGTGTGGAATTGTGTTCTTTGTTCAGCTATGATTTGTGAGTTTCTTATATTTTGAGTATCTGAATTATTATTAATTGGTTGTTTTACAGGGAATCCCTCATTAACTCTTGTCCAGTTTGTGGTGAGCTCCTTGACGCTTCCAATCAGGTTGGTAGCATGGTTCATATGACCTTGTGTTTCAATGAAGGGACAGGAAACAATGCAATGAGTGGGGGATTTTTAACAGATAAGCAGGCTTCATATGGGTAAGGATACCTCACTGATGCAAGTTTTAGTACTCCGGTTATTAATTAATTAATCAAATGCTGAATCTCACAGCCTACACTCCTAGGCTCTTTGCCCCTGGGTCAATTAGGGTGTGCAAAACTAGTCCGTATAAAAAAAATGTACTGGACGAGATTGAACCAAATAAAAAAGAATTGGTCCGATCTCCAAGTTGAAAAGTATAATATATGGTCTTTGGTTTGGTTTGGTCCGGTCCAAATCCTTTAAAAATCAGTCTTGGACTAGACCAATTTTTTGTTACAAAATATACATATAAGCCTTGAAATTAATTGATTTTCTCCTTAAATATGTGAGGAAGATTTTATAATGTATATTATGAGCTATTCAATATTATACTTTCAAAAAATTTATCGAACTATCAATTTTCTTTTACTCAATCCTTTTTTTTGGGTTAATTGCAACCCTTTGACCTGCAAGGAGTTTTATGCATTTGATTTGAATTTGTTAAATTATTAAGTAAGTGGGCTTTGTTAAGTTATAAAAAAATGATGTAAAAGTGATAGTGGGTGAATAGTTTATGTAAGAGTAAGGGATTGAGGGAAGGGAATTATTAAAAAACAGAATGGGTTGGGTATGGGCGGGGACCATGTGAAGAGAGATGTTATAAAATAGTTAATAGTATTTCCATTTAAGTGTTGCAATTAAAAAAAAGGGTTGTTTATAGGAAGTTTTGAAATAAAAAAAAACGGAAGGTGTATTTATGTTCCTCTTCTTTTCTATAATGTAATAAAATAATACGAAGTATAGAAACATACAAATTGTCTTAAAACCGGCCTGAATTGATCTGGTCTAGGTTTTAGACTGGTTGTAACAGTCTTGTGTAGTCTGTTCTTGTCTGGTCCTAGCATAATTGTTCTGATCTGCGGGTCTTGCTGGTCTTCGGTCCAATATGGTCCGTTCTTGAACCGGTGAACAGCCCAACTGTATTTTTGTTACCCCTCATATTTTCAGTATAGCTTTGTAACCTCGCTTTTGCTGTTTTTCTTGAAGTTTTTATTAGATTTATAATAATATTCATATTTTATTTCTGTTTTGCTGTGTTTAGATGGCTACTCAAACTGAGTGAGTGGGCACAGTACTCTTCTTATGGCATTGGCTTGAACTCAGGCTCAAAGGCAGGACATATTCTGGTATGGAAAGAGGAAGGTCTTTTTGAGCTTTATTTCACTAATTACCACTCTCCTCCCTATATGCTAAGATAGCTGGTTCTTTTTATCCTCCTGGAACTGTTGTTTTGCTATTCTATTCTTCTGAGAAGGATAGTTTGCTAGTGGATTCTTTTGAGTTTCATCATTGGCCAGGAAGGATGAGAGTTTTATGTTGGGTCCTTCAATCCGGATATTAGAGTAGTTCTTCTGGCTGTAACTAAATGTGAACCATTAGCTTCCCTCATACAAATATAAAGCCAATATCTTTGGAACCAAATCCATCAATTCATATAACATACTTTGTATATTATGACCTTACATTGTTACATATCTCATTAAGAAATGAATATATTTGAGATTCTAATGTATTCAACTTCCATTATAATTCAATCACATTACAAGTTTAATAGGGATCAATATGATCATGATATGTCTGTGAGTTATTTGAATACATATACTCCGTCCATCTTTTTTAGGTTCCCATTTCACATCCCCCATGTCTGCCTTTCATTAGTATCTGAAGTACGTTATGTGGGCTGTATCTTGGGTATGCAGGAAATGTTAGTTATGCTGGCGTAAATTATTATATTATATTAGCCTTAGTTACTATATGTTTCTGGAGTACATATCGTGTTTTCTGATAAATTGGCATCTCAAATTATACACTTATTATTCGGTTCTGTTGATAAAATGTAATGTTGATGCTCTAGGTTTTTTTATCGTACAACAAAGAGGCTGGTGGAAGAACTGATTGATGGAAAGATTATTTTGGCAATGAGATCCTTGTATCAAAATAAACCGGGGCTTTACTTTCTCGGAAAAGGTACAATCAATTAAGTGTAATAAATTTAATAAGAAGAGGCTTTGCTTGTATCTGATCTTATTTTTCAGCCTTGCCAACTTGTCAGATACTTATAAGTTATAGAGTCAGATGTCCTTATGTCTAGTCTGTTTTTTACTTGTTATGTTGTCATGCTGTTTTGGAACTTTCAACAGCTCTACACCTATCTTAATATGTTGCTCTGGCTAACAAGTTTTACAGAGAAAATGTAATTCATAGAAACTTTTTTTTTTTTTTTTAAAATACTCTATGACGAGTTCATTGTACTCCCTCCATTTGTATAATTTTTTTACTTTTATTTATTTATTTATTTATTTTTCTAGTCCTTATCTGTTCTTATCCATTGTGTTATACCTACTATCACTTTAATTTTATAGCTAAATATATTTTCCCCTGTTGCCTACCCTTGTTACTACATAGGACCCATTTAAACCCATTATTCATACCTTATTCTATCCCTGTCCTCTAAACAGTAGAAATACATGGATGTCTTTCCTCCTCTCTTCTACTTGATCTTTGTATCCACAGTAATTGGGTAGAACAAAGAAACGTGAGAGTACTATTCTAGTATTCTTTCATAGATTGTTTTGGTCTTTTAGATATTTAATCTCACGAATTATGGTACTTGTCAATTTCAAGACTGTATCAACAGTGCTCCTTTACACCTTGAATAATTTATATGAATTATAAGCTTGCATTGCGCTACCTTTTTTCAATTGTATAATTTGGACTTTTATAGCTAAAATTTCCATGTCTTCTACTTCCCCCCCCCCCCCTCCCAATTTTGTTAGAAATTAGTAGATTATATTGCAATTGCCTTTATTTTTATGTTTGTATGTAAACTGTATTTTACTCATGATTGTGGTGCAGGAGGCAAAGAAATTATGCAAAAACTCTCTGAAAAGCAAGGAGAAAAAATGAACTCGGCTGGTTCTACAAAAGAGATACCAAAATTTATTGAACTTTTCAAGGTATGGTACTATTGTTCTCCCTTTATTGATGGTTTGGTAATGATGACAACTGTCCTCTTCCTTTATACAATCAAATTCTTTTAGCTGTGTTGTTTATAGGGGCCAATTTTTATTTAATCAGTTATCTTACTAGGCACTTTTTCCCTTTCGGACGGTTCCTTATGACGATTCATGTTAGCTGACCCCAAATCATTTTGGGACTAAGGCTTTGTTGTTGTTATTGGGAAGGGCGGGTCTGTTTCTTTCTTATGGTCCAATATTTGCATTTATGGTTTTGTCTAATTATTCCCGCTATTTCCTTTTCTCTGTGTTGTTTAAAAAGTAACTGAATATAAAATTATAACACTACCATTTTAGCTGGCAGATTGTGAAGTGATTATCAATTTTCTTATGGCCCAATAAAAAATTGACTAACATGCACCATGCAAGTAAAATAGTGATAATCAATTTTATTTATTTTGGGCTCTCCTTGATCAGTAAAACAGTAGATTGTTGATATGGTGTGTTGGGATTTATATTGGATGGGATGAGCTAAGACTGTATACAGAATATCTTAGCTGCTGTATGGATTCATACATCCAATATTTTATTTACCTGAGGAAGAGCTAAGTAGATAACTTTCACTAGACATTTAGATCAAATAAAAAAAAGGAGTACATTAGAGAGCTCAAATTCATTACTTGCTTCCATGTAAACTACCGGATTAATTAAAAGTTATTCAAATACTGTGTTATGCCATTTTAAAACAATTTAAATGACTGATTATAACACAGAATATGACTACCTATCTCTACTATTCTTTTATTTTTAGTTCACCTTCATTTTTCTGATGTGCAAAGAAAATTGATCTTTCGCTCATTAGTAACAAATACTCTATTTTTGTATGTCAATCATACCTCATATGTTCTTAATATAATATGCTGAATAGTAAATTGTTTATATACACTTTATATTTTGCAGGATCAGCTGAACTTATCTGAAACAAAATACCCTCTGGATCACTTCAAGGTATAAATTATTGAATTTATATGGTTTGATTTTATATTTACGTGATGCACCCATTGTAAATTTTGTTCTAAGCATGATGTGGGATGTCCTTGAGTCATGATTTGATGAAGACTTTTTTTTAGGTCTCCATTGTTCATTTCTTATCAAAATGGGTTTAAACCTTATGTCATTTTCTCACAATCAATTAACCACTTTTGATCGTACAGACCTTTAATGAATTTTTCATTCGGGAACTAAAGCCTGGTGCAAGACCCATTGCCTTCATGGATCGTGATGATATTGCAGTATGTGGTGCAGATTCTCGTCTAACGGCTTTTAAAAATGTGGAAGACAGCACTAGATTCTGGATCAAGGTACCATATACCATTTGTATATTTAAAGGAGAAAACTGTATTTTGTGGAACTAGTCTCAATACAAGTTGATCTTTGCATTTGTACAGTGAAATGTTAAAGGAAACTTTCATCCTCATACTTTGCTCTACAAAACATGGCAGCTTGACAGCAGAAAGAGTTATCCTACTTGTTTTGTTTCATTGACCATCGATACAATATCGCAACTATCTCTTTATTTGATTTATTACATCTGAATATCTGAGAGCTTCTACTTGCCAAACATTTTTGTTAATAACTGTGTGCTTATGATAGGGATTGAGAGAATGTATATAGAGCTGAAGATATTGATATGGGATTTGTCATTTTTTACTGCTGTATCATACTTGCTTCTGGATGGGTGCTGCAAACTATTGAATACATCGTATTGCCTTGAATCTATATGAATTGATCATAATTTTACTGAAGAAGTATCTTGTATATGGCGTGATAAGCAACATAGTAATAAATGTTGAATATAGTTAGGTCTCTTAAGACCTTGCCCCTGTAACTTACCTAGACCTGTCTTCTGTAGTCTTTTATCCTATAGGGGACTTCTAGAGTACACTAATATTCGGTGGATTCTCATGGGACAAGCTTTGGCTCTGCTATAGAAAATTTGGCCTTACCATAAATCTTAAAAATTAGAGTATATAAAATATAAAAGAACAATGGTCAGTGGTGTGCTAGTTGTATGATTAAATTTAGTTTTGCCGCCTAGCTGATATTATGATTATGTAGGGTCGGAAATTCTCTATTCAAGGCCTATTGGGAAATGATGTTTCTGCCAGTCATTTTATTGGCGGAACATTGGTGATATTTCGGTTAGCTCCTCAGGTAGTTAGTAAAGTAAATATCTTAAGAAGATTTTTTTAACCAGCCAGCTTCCTTCTACCATTTAGACATAATTATAATCTAACTATTATTGCAGGATTATCATCGTTTTCACTTACCAGTTTCGGGGACCGTTGAGCGATTTGTTCATATACCTGGGTGCTTATACACTATGAATTATTGAAATTTAAGTGATTATAGAATCAGACATTCTTTTCTCTTTTTTACCCATATTGCCTTTTGTTTCTCATTTTCACTTTTCTCTTTTCCGATTATGAGGCAGGTTAATCCTATTGCTGTAAATAGCCTTTGTGATGTCTTCACAGAGAATAAGAGAGCTGTGTCTATCATTTCAACTTCATGTTTTGGAAAGGTTAGTGTTGCTATAAGCTTCTTTCGGGAACGTGGTTTTATAAATGTTACCAGTGGAATACCTACTTGCATATTTTGAGGTTAAAGTTTCTGAGCTCTTTATTTCACAACTATTATCAAAGTTGATGCTGGACTTTGTTGTTAATAAGTAGATTCTTTTGTTACACACCTTTACTTGTTTTTCATGTTCACAACATAGTCCATTACATTTAAATTTATCAATGGGACTGATTTTACTTCATTTTCTACTTTGTGTGATGTAAATATTTAAAAATCATACGTAGTATATTACTTGTGTGTGAATGTTTATTAACAAAACTGCTATTAAGTATTTAACCATTCAGTTATATCCACTGCTAAGTAAGCGTTAGTTAACTCTGCAAGAAACAGAATAGGTTGAAAGGGCAAGGTATATAGGTAATAGAACTCTTATATTCCACCGATATGCTCCTGCATCTCATTCCTTGGAAACCTGACAGTCTTTAGACTTGACTAGCTGCTGAAAGTCCTATTAAAGCATTGCCACAAATACTGTATATCTGAATGACTGCTGTTGTATTGCTTAGACTGGTCATCTTAGTGTTCCTACTTCCCAAGGAAGAGAAGCTGTTCTTTTTCATTAAGCTATCATTAATCTGGTTGCAGGTAGCTTTTGTTGCGATTGGAGCAACAATGGTTGGCAGCATTACATTTACTAGGAAACAAGGTGACTATGTTCAGAAGGGCGAGGAGGTTGGGACTTCCTGAATTCTACTTGGTGAATGTTGTCCCTATTTTCTCCATTTACAATCTCCTTGACAATTTTTGTTTACTGATGTTGCAGTTTGGGTACTTCTCATTTGGTGGAAGCACTGTAATTTGTGTGTTTGAGAAGGTATTTCACTTGTAAAATTACATTCAAATTTATATTTTATTTTATTTATATATATAATTATTTTGAATATATGTAGTACGAATAAATAGATGTATAAGAAAGACAGCTAGGATATTTCACCCTTAAAAAAAGGGTGGGCCGAAGACAAAAATACTCATGCCCTTGAGGTGTCATGATGCCTTTCATTTACAGAACTAAAACCGCAAGTATCACTCAGAACTTAATTAATATTTGACTCTAGATACAAAAGCTTTATGTAATAGAACTTTGTTCTTGATAAAGACAAGTTATAGTCTCAAAATCCGTTAATTCCTTTCATATGCAAGCTAAGTTTTATTCTAGTATTATCTTTTCTCACTCTTAGATTAAATGCATTATTCTAGTTAGCAATATGATGGTCCACATTTAGGCTCAAGCTGAAATTGTTAACAAGTTTTTAGTTACAATTGTTTTATAAATATTATCCGCAGAAAGTCTTATCATTTTCTCTCTGCTTTTTACTTGTTCTCCGTGCATAACTGTTTGAATATTGTCAGTAAGAAGAAATGCCATATTTGGAGGTTCCCTGATTCTGCTTTTTTTGCAATCACTATTTCTCAGATCACTCTCTTCGATACCAGTCGTGTCTAACAATAAATTATGGAAAATTTCCTGGCATAATGCTCTTATTCACACTGCTACTGTTGTCAAAGATAATTTGTTAGAAATGCATGCCAATCAATTTGGAGGACTAGAGGGCCTTAAACATAAAACAGAGGAAATAGTTGTTTATGTCAACCATAATTGTATAAATTAAGAGGAACCCGTATAGATAGAAGTGAATATGCAAATTGGGTCAAGAAAAATTAACTTTGTAGAACTGAATAATGATCTTCAAGAATCATACTCCGTATTTTGCATTCGTTTTAGTAGAATCATAGTGCCAATCTAAATTTTACTAGAATAAAATGATTCTTGGAGATCGATGACATGCTCTCTATTGATTTTATTTTCTTTGCAGGGCGCAATAAAACTGGACGAGGACCTCCTAGACAATAGTGCCCGATCTCTTGAGACTTTGGTTCGTGTAGGAATGACGCTGGGTGTATCTACCAAAACAAATATACGATGAAGCTATGGCTACCAAGTCATTTCCTGATACAATTTGGTGCAGTGCAATAGTTCATTGCACACCGAATCATGAGCCTGTGTGTTGCAGCTCTCTCTTGCCATTTTTTTTCTTTTCCTTTTTCAGTTTCCTACTTTTGTCACATAATCTTCAACTGTTTTTGTCTGCTTACGAACTAGTGACTTTAAATCCCTCTCCTTACAATTGCCACGCTTAATAGGATAGGGATTTGGGTTTTGTAATGCTTGCCAACATCCAGGTAGTTGATGATAATGACGAGACAATGATGAACAAACTTCTTTGGTAGACGTGTAACTTGTCCCATTGTATAGTTAACAATGATGCCATCTTAGTTTAGTGCATGATGAAGTGTGATCAAAGTCTGATGTTTCTATTGATCAGTTTCTATATATCATATAGACATGTAGTCTTTGTAGTGGTGGTAGTGTGCCAGTAACAGAAGAATGGTCTATGGCAGAACCTTTATGTTAAATTGTTTAATTTAAGATTTTGATATGAACTAGACTGCAATATATAGGTTTGGCCTTTTCTTCTTGTCTGAAATATAGAATAACTCACTAGATTATTATTTTTGTTCACGCTGCTGTTGAGTGTTCAACTGTTCGGTAATGTAAGATTTCCCTCTTTGATATTGCCCTTCGTCACCAGCTTTTTATCGCATCATTCGCAACTAGAAAGTGAACTCTGTCTGTATGTGTATAGAAAGGAGTTCAAGTGATTCTCAGTTACCTAGTCTCTCTTTGATTCCCAGTAGAGTACTGAAAGTGGCATTTTTTCTGGCCTCTAATTGGTTAGTATGTCAATAGTCTAACTATGTTGTTAAGTACCGCTTATTATAATTATACTGCTTACTATTAATGTTCGACATTGACTACTCACAAACCTTGGAGTTTATATTGAACTTCACTACTACAAGCTTTAAATTACAGAGGCTCTCATTCTTACAACAAATACCTTAATTCCTACTGTGTATGTTCTATGGTATTAATATTCATTTCAGCATCAATATCGGTAATGATAAGCATTATATCCATGACCATAACCCCCCATGTTGGTGGGCATTTGTTGTATGTTTGACAGTGCAGCATGGCCTTGCATACCATCCCTGTGATATTGTTGCCACATAAGTTTTTCCTCAATCAACCGTCTTTGTTTCTTCTCTAACTCTGAGATTTGCACATAAGGTGGTGGGGCAACAGCCAATGAAGCTGCAAATGGGTCTACGACTGGCGAATAGAAGCCTGAAGATGATGATGGAGCCGGTAATGCTAGCATCTTGGGGTTTCCAAGGGATCCTGGAGCCACACTGCTAGCACTCCCTGTTCCCCCCATGCAATTAGCAGCTAAAGCTGCATTAGTTGCCCCTTGTGTATACATTCTATTTAATAGCATTGTGTCAAAGCCACCCCCAAGGGAAGCCTTTTGGCGAGGCAAGCGGCTAGCTGATTGGACTAGTGTCGTCTCCCAATTTGATGTGTCATTGAAGACCTCCCACAATGGAGGTGGGGTTAGGCCGTTGCCTGTTGCTCCATGAAATAATGCTAAGGCAACGTTATCCTTATGCTCTTCATTTGTTGGAGCATCATCTCCCAAGTTTATTAGATCAGCCTCTTTGGTTTGCGGTTCATCTTTCTTCGTTGGCCCATGTTCCTTCTCTTCCTCTTGTGGGAAACCTTCTACTGGAGGAAGTGCCTTTACTGTATTCATATCTTTAACAATTTCTTCTTTCTCCTCTAGTGAGGCGGGTTCTTTCTCCTTTTTGTTTCTGTCCATGTTAGCCAATTTGTTTACGATACTAGCTGCTTTTTCTCTTATGAATTCGTCCATAAGATCAAGCTTCTTTGGGGTGATTTTCTCTACTTCAGGGTATTCAGAGGAGCGTACCACTCCTATGTCTTTACACCAGGCGTAGTATGAATCGAGCTCGTCGAATTGATTTGAAATACGACAAAGAATTTCATGTACTTTGATACATTCAGGGATATCCAACTCCATAAACTGATCGATCAGAATAGCTAGTATGTCTGTAATGTCATAATATATCTGGAAGCTGTCTCTCACAATTGAATACAGAGCTACTATTACAATACGATTGTGCTTTGCGGAACCTTAAATTTCAACCAAGAAACAACGATTCGTTAGTACGAGGAAAATAGCTAAGGGTACAAGTTTTATGCATACATGGAATAATAAGATGATGAGCAGGGAGGTGAAAACCTGATGGTTTGGTTGCAAGGAACCTTTCAAGAAGTTGTTGTAAGTAGTGAATCTCAGACAATACTTGTTCAGTGGAAAGGTCAGTAGTTGCTACTGTCCGTGGAGAAGAACCAGAACCAGAAACATTATTACTTGAATCACGGTATGTCTCTTCCAGCTGCTGCATTTCGTAGGAGGACGAATAGGAGCGTGTTCTATGGTGATGATTTCTCCTCTTTCCCTGTACCTTGAATTCAAGTCTTTCGTCCAAGTACAAGGCGAACATCCTTACAAATGCTGAGTAGTCCCAACAGTTAGACCGTGAGTCTCGGAAATCTGACATATTGAGCATGCGAGTCCCACGCCTTGTCGAGTAGAATATCTCTTGTTCAAAGGCAGGGTCTCCTTCTGATAACAGCTTTTGGATTAGCATTAGCGTCTTCAAGGCTACTACCTGTATGTTTAAAAGTACGAAAATATTGCAATATATATGTGAGAGTTATCTTTATTTGGTTACATTAGGTACAAGTGTGAATATGTTATGAGTATCTTCGTTTTTAAACCCAAGTGATATGCTCGCTATACATGTCAATTGGTTATATGATGGACCTTGCTATATATGGGCACTCTTCATGGACTTGAAGTTACTGCTTTGGCTTGGAAGCTGTGGCTCAAAATGTCTTTCAGAGACTTTTTTGTTTAGTTGGTTAGTATCATGAGGCTTCAAAGGCATGCTAGTTGTAAACATTATGTCCTTGTACTTTTGAGCCTCGCCACTGTACAAGACAGTCTGATAGCTACTGAATTATGTGATAAGTTTACTAGCAATTGCAAACTTTAGACTTTGTGATGTCTTTTGATTAATTGCCGAGCAATCATGCTCTATGGTAGATTGGTAATGTTAAGACGAAGTTATCTGATGAGGATGTTAAAACTATTCCTCTTCAACTAACTTTTGACAACCAACACTAGTTAATACTGCAAGACTCCTAGGCTAGATGTTTTCAATTGCTACAATTTGATCATAAAAGGCGAAAAGGGGAAGCAAGCTAATGTCTGCATATTTATGTCTGCCTACTAACTTGAGTAATCAGCAAATCAAACAAAAGATTGAGCATTGTATCAAATCATAAGTACATAGTCACATTACCCAATTTTTGGTCTTGCTAAGGCGCCTAGAAATCGTACTAACACAAGATCCAATGAAGGCTCGAGAGTAGCAAGTCAAGCTATAGATCTCATCATAGTACTTCTCTTCAGCTGGATACTCATCATGGCCGGTTGCCTTAACAATGGCTATATCTAAGTCCGATAACGAGGTGCTGCTTCCTACCTTTGCTAGCCCAATGGTAGTTTGATCCTTCACTGCCCCTATGGCTCTTCTAAATGCCATGAATTCTATTCAGTTTCTGAGGCTCTTTGTGGCTATCTAACTTTTCCTTATATCTTTTTTTGGTGTTGTCTCTGCACTACCAAACATGCATGCAATGTATTAGCAGGCCATGGTCTTATATAGAACGGGTGTATATAGTATAAAAAAGTTACCACATTGTTGACTTATATGGGTTTTGAGATGACTAGAACAATGTATCCGATACACCTACCATTGTATACAAACTTTTGCCAAGTACTTATCTCAATCATGCAGAAAAAATTAGACAGATTAAAGTAATAAAGTTAGATAAGAAGACAAATATGATGGTAAAATAAGTAATCGGAGTATTTATAATTCACAAAACCTCACATATATATTTATGATGATTGTATATGAAGGTGCAAATGACTCTATTAAGAAACCAGAATAATCAATCTTACAGAGATTTGTTTTGCTTTCTTAAAACAAATTTGTACTACCTACATTCATGAGCATCTTTAAAACAAATGTGTAATGGTGACAAATTGTTCTTCTAAATTGCTCTCTTTAAAACAAATGTATAAGACTCAATTATGATTTATGAATGTGTGATTCTACTTTCTTTTTTTATGAACATCTTATATTATATTTAAGAAAATTGAAAAGAACATTTCAATGAATTTCTAAAATACGTTGAAGAATTTTTACATTCTTGAGTATGGAAATAAAATGAGTAGTCAAGGACATGAAAATTTTTGATCAAAAAAAAAAAGGACATTAAAATTTATCGCAATTAAATGATAAAATTAACAAATATTCAATGAACACAATAGAAAAAATTGTAAGGATCTACCATTTTCTTGATTCCTAATAAAATAAAAATAATTTATATACTTACACAATTGTCAATCCATGGTCATCAATAGGGTAATAACTTGATAATTTGTCGTTTGAAATTCAATTGGAATGATTAATCCCCTCGTTAATCTATAAAGCATATACAAATAAAAACAATAACAAATGCTATTGTACAAATTAAATCAATTTTAATTTACACTATATTGTTATGAATGATCGAAAAATAAAGATGAGGAAATGAGAACAAGATTATTTTCTTATCCTCATTCCCCCTTTTTCAATTTTTTTTTTTCTCATTTGATTAATTGTTTTGGGATTTGGTATACAAATCTCAATAGCGTATGAGCCGGAAATAATCTCACAAGGCAACCATACAATATTCCTATATTTTAGGGTAAATATATTCGACTCTAAACTAATGCAAATAGCTGTAGTCTTAACTTTACTACTTTTTCCTTTAGTCTTTGATATTTGTTTACGTTGTAAAAAAAAATTACGAGTATCTATATTAATTATACAATGAAGGGGTTAGAGCAAAAAAATTGGTGTTAAAAATATGAATTGCCAATAATATCTGTTTAAGTTTTGTACGTGGATATGTGGTCACCCACACAGTGTGGCCACATTAGTTTACAAGAATAACACTTTTTTTTTTTTTTGAAAGATATAAGAATAACACTTATTTATTCATTCGATTAACCTTATTTTATTTGTCCGTTAGATCTACCCCAACTTATTATACAAGTAACATCAATTAATTCGAGTAACCCCTTTTCTCTAGTATTGACTATTAATAAAATAATTTCACTTATTTTGAAGAATTTCCTTATTTTTCACTTATTTCACTTTTAAAAAGGGTGTTAAAAAATTAGTTCAACCGGGAAAATGGACAGGGAGGAGTTTAAAACCGGTTCCGATCCTGAGAAATTTTTAAAATTAAACAAGTCTTGGAGCGAATCGGATGTTTTTGGTAAAAATATGAATAAAATCTTTTAAATGTTTAATTTGTACATTCAATATGCTACAAACATTTTAATATAATAAGTTATTTCATTTTAGATGTTCAAAATAGGCACTAAATAATCATTTTTCTTGTATTTATATTTTCATATTTTTCATAATATAATAAAAATTATTCAAAAATATAGAAAAAAAATTCAAAAATGTAAATTTAAAATTTCGATCTTTGGTTTAGTCCGGTCAAAGCAAACCGGTCCGATCTTGAATTTTAATATTCCGGTCTTTGGTTCGGTCCAATCTTGGGACGATGAACAACACTAGTGGTAACCCCTCATTCGGCGAAAATAACCCCATTTGGTGATCACTCATTTAAACTCTTCTACCTCTCTCATCTCTTTAAAACCCTAGGCTCCATTGTTAAATTTTGAAGGGGCTTTCGGTTTCTACTGGTGAAAAGCCCAATCTTTGTTTCTTTTCAGATTTTTCTCTTTGATTTTCGGTTTATAATTGATATATCCATTTTATAACAACACTAGTGGTAACCCCTCATTCGGCGAAAATAACCCCATTTGGTGATCACTCATTTAAACTCTTCTACCTCTCTCATCTCTTTAAAACCCTAGGCTCCATTGTTAAATTTTGAAGGGGCTTTCGGTTTCTACTGGTGAAAAGCCCAATCTTTGTTTCTTTTCTGATTTTTCTCTTTGATTTTCGGTTTATAATTGATATATCCATTTTATATAGTGATTTACCCCCGTTCCTTGGTCATATTTAGGAGTATTTTTGGCTCTACGGAGCTATTTTTATTAGTAATATGTGTTTTCGTAGCTTTGGTATTGTTTTATAGGAAATTGCAGATTTTTGGAGCATTTTCCCGGATTTATTTGGACCACTATGAGCATTCGATATGGATCGCATTCATATGACCATATTCCGTAGCCCAAGATCGCGTTGGAGCAATCAAACCGGTGATTAAGGGCTCGGCGAAGAAGAAAAGACCGAGGCAATGGACCAATTCATAAAGACCAAAAGAAGAAATCCGGATTGGGCCAAGAAGGAGCCTAATCGAAGAGTTCATGTAGCCCAGAAGCTCGCCCGACCGGGGAGTGCCCTTGCCCTGAGGCGCGCCCGTCCGGGTGAGGTAGAAAGAAAGAGTACATCTCCACCCGAAGGCGCGCCCTGCCGAGCGCGAGAAAGGGAGCTCAGCAACTGAAGGCGGGCCCGGGCGAGCGGTCAAGCGCTCGATCAGGCGCGTGTTTCTGAGGAGTTTTACGACGATTTAATCTTCGTCTTAGTTTAGGATTTTCTAGCTTAAATAAAAATACGCTTTTGTTAAGTGATATGTCTCTTTTATATAGTGATTTTCCCCCGTCCCTTGGTCGTATTTTGGAGTATTTTTGGCTCTACGAAGCCACTTTTATTACTAGTATGCGTTTTCAAGTGTTTTCGAAAGTTTTGGTATTGTTTTATAGGAAATTGCGGATTTGGAGCATTTTCCCGGACTTATTTGAGCCACTACGAACATTGGAGTAGGATCGCATTCATATGACCACACTCCAAAGCCCGAGGCCGAGTTGGAGCAATCAAACCGGTGATTAAGGGCTCGGTGAAGAAGAAGAGTTCGAGGCATTGGACCGAGTTATAAGAGGAAATGCAGATTGGGCCAAGAAATAGCCCAATTGAGAAGTCCATATATGCCCGAGAGCTCTCCCGACCAGGGAAGCCCTCGCCATGAGGCGCACCCGGCCGAGTGAGGCAGATAGGGAAGGATAGCTCTTCGCCCTAAGGCGCGCCCTTCTGGGCGAGCGAGAGAAAGTTCACCAGCGAAGGCGGGCCCGACTGGGCGAGATGGCGCCCGACCAGGCGCGTATTTTTGAGGAGTGTTTAGCGACTTTTAATTTGCTTTAATTTAGGATTTGTTAGCTTAAGTATAAATAGGCTTTTGTTAAGCGTAACGATTACGCTTTTCATTAGTTAATTTCCAGATTTTAGATTTAAGCTTTTGGTTTGTTCTCTCAACAATTTTGGTTTGTGAAATTCCATATTTCCGTTTATTTTAGTAGCGATTCCTTTCCCTTTTATTTTCAGTAATTTAATTGCTTTGATTAATCATGTCTTATTTATTTGTTTTGCTTAGTTTAGATTTAAATATGTGTGAGTAGTTTTATTTCTAGGGTTGTGGGGATCCATAAATAATATGAAGGGGTGATCTATAATGGTTAATTTTCAATGCTTTGGTTGATTTCCTATTGATTGATTTAATGTTATGCAATTAGATTAAGCCTGATTTAATTGTATGAGTTATGCAATATTGATTCCAGATTCGAGAGATGAGAACTGATGTTTAGGCTTAGTTTCAATAGGCAAGTTAATTTATAAATGGTTAAGTCAAGATACAAGAGATGAGATTTAATACCAGTAGATAAATTCTGTGATTGTAATACGTAGCGAAAGCCCTTTATGATCTGATTAATTGATTTTTGTGTTTTACCCTGGAATATTATTTATTGGTGAACCTATACCCTAGGCTTTGATTTATTACTTTATCCTTAATTTTATTTGCTTTAGTTTATTTAATCTCCTTAGTTTAATCCTCATATAAACAACTTTGTTACTTAATAGTTTAGATTATATTAATTATTTAGGAATAGATAGACTTGTTTTCCTGAGGATTCGACCCAACTTCCCTATCTACTTTAATTAGAGGACTTAGGTAATTCTTTAGATTAGGAGATACGACTTTATCCTGTCAAAATTTGGCGTCGTTACCGGGGAAACGGTTTTATTTTTATTTCTGTTATTTTTGTAGTCTAGATTATTTTTCCTTCGTCTCATAGAACGCAAGTTCTTTGAGACAGTTTCTCATATTTGTTTGTTTAGTTCTTTGTTTATGCCTAGGAGTTCTAAATCAGGTTATATTCCATTCGATCCTGAAATCGAACGTTCTTTTCATAGACTGAAAAACCTTTTCAGACAAGTACAAGCTACTTCGAGGGTAATATACCTTTGGAACCCCCACCTGATTCTACCGACACAGATGCTTCTTCAGAACCAGAATCAGAGATGGCGCATTCGCCACCATCTCCACCTCGCAAGCTTAGCGATTATTCGCAGCCCTCCCTGGGTGATTTTCCGCACCTTACTCCTACACCAAATCTCGAGGGAGTACAATTCGAGATTAAACCCTATTTTATTACTATGATCGAAAGGAAGCAATTCAACGGAGCTAAGGGTGAAGATCCAAATCTTCATATTTTGCACTTTTGCCAATATTGCAACACTATTATACAAGCTGGGGTCACGCAGGACCAAATCAGGGAGATTCTTTTCCCTTTTCTTTAGGTGGTAAGGCTAAATTGTGGTACAATGGATTGAATAGGACTGCCCTTGGTATTATTGACTGGAATTCTCTTGCTATGAATTTCTATAATAAATATTACTCTGCAGAGAGGACAGCTTTGTTAAGGAGTTCGATCCAAATATTTTCCCAAGAAGCGGATGAATCTTTATATGAAGCTTGGGAAAGATTTAAGGATTTGCATAGAGAATGTTCCCACCATGGGCTAGCACAGTGGCAGATAATCCAAACCTTCTACAACGAGCTTGGAAATTCATCCAGATCAATCCTAGACTCATCAGCTAATGGAAGATTTATGAATCTTCAAGAAGATGTAACGGGAACAGTGATCGAAGAGATGGCAATTCATAATTCCCAATATGGGAATCCTAGAGGTTTTGCAAACAAAGGGAAACATAATGTCGATTCCGTATCCTTTGTGCAAGCTCAATTATCCTCTATTTGTCAGAAATTAGATAATATTAGTACTGCTATTCCTGCTTCCATAACTAATGTTTCTGCTGTTAACAATAATACTATTGATGCTTTTTGTGAAAATTGTGGAATTGTAGGTCATTGGGCACAAGATTGTAGGAGTTCCATGGAGCAAGTTAATGCCTTCCAAGCCTATAGGCAAAATAACCCATACTCCAACACTTATAATCCTGGTCTCCGGAACCATCCAAATTTTAACTAATGTGCTAAACCCTTCACCTCCACAACAACAAGCCCCACAGCAACCACAACAAAAATATTACCAACCTCCTAACCAGAGACCCCAACCACAAACACCACCTCTATCTACTGATCATGCCATGTCAGAATTAAAACGATGTTAGCCAATATGCAGAAACAGATGCAGAGTAGGGATGCGCAAATTGATTCCATCCTAGCACATAATAAAATCATAGATAATCAAATTGTGCAACTTTCCTCTACTCTGCAAATTTGCCAGCAGGGAGCCCTACCATCGCAGCCAGTATAACCTACAGATCATGCTAATGCAATTACTTTGAGAAGTGGTTCACACTATGATGGGCCCTCTATGCCCAAAGATGATGAACTTGTTATAAGAAAAATTGCAAATCATGATTCTCTTATATCAAATGATGTTGTTACTAGCCCTGCAGGCCCCAGGGTAACACTAATATTTCTGATGATACATTGTAGGGTACAACTCCAGAGAAGGTTATAACTCAAGATAAGATCGGAGATGTACATAAACCAGTTATCAAACTACCATTCCCTAATAGACATTTGAAGAGTAAGTTGGATAAGCAGTTTGGTAAGTTTTTGGAGGTTGTGAAAAATTTGCAGGTAACAGTTCCTTTCACAGAATTAATTATACAAGTTCCTGCATATGCTAAATTTATGAAAGATATATTGACTAGGAAGAGAGCCTTTAATGAGGTAGAGACTGTAGCTTTTACAGAGAAATGTAGTGCTTTATTGCAAAATAAATCTCCACCAAAATTAAAGGATCCTGGTAATTTTTCTATACCTTGTCATATTGGAAATGTCTTCATTGATAAAGCTTTATGTGATTTGGGTGTTGTAGACACCTGATTGTGTCTCCCCAAAAACCAGATCTCGTGATGAGTACCTTTCACATATTTGATTATTGAGTTCGGTGAAGAATTGAAGAATCTCGTGAGTTTCCCTTTAGCCTTGACCGTTTCTAACCTTTCCTTAAATGTTTTAAGCTAAAATCATTTATTTCGTGTCTCTAAACCCAAAATAGTTCATTTCGTGTCCTAAAATAATCCTTTTCGTGTCCAATTCATAAAAACGTCCAAACCAGTTTATTTTAGTCCATAATCTGGGTCCAGTGATTGTGTAGTTGGATGAGGTTTGAAAAGAGCTTTCCAACGATATATTATAAGCCCAAATCTGAGTTATAACGTGGAAGTTATGGCCAAAATACTAAACCGAGCCCAAACCAAGCCTTACTTACGGACCTAATGATCATGTGGAGGGTCCATTTACCTTAATTCATTCCTAATCCCATTAGGATTTATTACATGCTTCTAGAATTATCTAAAAGGTTGTTTTGAGTCCTAAATCCATTAGGATTGATTATTAGCTTCTAGAATCTTCTAGAAGGTTCTAATTTATCCTCATTTGAAAAGATCAGACTAAGAATTTTATATCGGATAAAACATGTGTTTTAATAGATTTAATTCTGATAAAATAAGGATAATTGCAGATATTCGACTAACCCTATTTGATTGGAAGTCGGATTCCGTACAGATCTTATCTTCTGAAAAGCATAGCGCAACGATGGAAGCATCGCACAGCGATGGATCCATCGTCACGCAATGAAAGGCATTTTACTCCGATTTGGATTCTGATTCTATTTCTAGATCATTTCCCTCTTTTTACCCTATAAATAGGGTCGTTTTCCTTTGTTTTTATTCACCAACAATCATCACCTAATCCTCTCTATAAGCTATAAGCTTTTCTCTCTCTCTTTCTTAGCCTTAGCCTAAACACATCACACACCATAAGACCTTTGCGAGACTTGAATACTCCAAGCCCCTCTCGTAGTTGCCTTCGACTTCGACGTGAAAGATTGATATTTTTGAGGGTTTGGTCTCTAATCCTTATTTCAATTCTTATTTGATTGATTTATTTATTTGATATTTCTTGAAGTTACTTTAATTCCTAGTATCATGTTAGGATGCTTAATTAATATTTCTAATGTTATCATGCTTGCTAGTATCATGTTTAGGGTGTTAGCTAATATTTCTAATATCATTATGCTTTCTAGTATCATGTTTAGGCTAAAGCTTTGATCATTATTATTTAGTGACATGCTAGGGTTTGTTATTAATCCGTTTAATATCATGCCTATGATCTTGCTAATATTATTTTAGAGATATTGCTTTATTTTGATGATGACGATTTGTTGTGTCAATTTATAATTATGTTGCTTGATTATTTATGATTTATTGTTATTGCTTGATCACGCCCTTTTCTACAAGTTTAAGGGAATTTTGTACTTGAAATCACGCCTAATAAGATAATTAATAATTTGACTTAGGCTTAATATGATTTTAATTCGAGTGATCGCCAACAATAGATTTATTTGTGCATTAATAATCAACCAACTATCAAATTTATTTGTACTATCAAAAGCCAGCTATTAAATCCAGCTGAAAAAGGTGCCATTAAATATGATTTCTTCCAATTATCATGAATTCTATCGACATCACCACCAGCATCTTGCTGTTGCTAATTACCCATAAGAAAAACTTAAGAGAAAAGGTAGCAGGTTGCTACTCGACATAATTTTCCTTCAAATAAAGCTTACTTAAGAGCTAATCATGAACGGATGACACTTTGGGTCGGAAAACATCTATCCAAACTTAGCCAAAATTAGGCTGGACACTGTTGTTCAGCTTAAGCATATACTCCCTATTCTTCAACTTGAACACTAATCCAAATTGCCAAAGGCTTAACCTCCGATTATCTGGCCGTGACAAGGAAAATTCATGTATCCAAGAAAATAATATTAAACTGCTACAATAATTCATGCCTAAGAACTTCAAAGATCCAATTCACATACAATAGTTAGATTAGTTACCCATCAAGTCAAAAATTGCAAAATGAGTTTTTATAAACTTATTAAATTATTTTTGCCAATTCTGGGTTGAAAAACATCTACCCAGACTGAGCCAAAATTGGGCCGGGACAATGTTAATTCGCTCTAGCAAAAGTGCATACTCCCTAATGTTCAACTTAAACACCAATCCGATTTCCATAAAGCATTTACTTCGAATATCAGACCAACACATGGCAAATACATGTATCCAATAAAATAACCTCAAATTGTTCCAATACTTCATAACTAAGAAATTTGAAGATCCAATTTACATACAAGAGCTACCTATCATGTCAAAGATTGTATACACTGATATTAAATTATCATCTCGAAAAAACAACAACATTGTTCATTGTATGCATATTCTCAAACACAGTAAATACTTTCAATGAATTGAAAAGCATTATACCCTCTGAAAGGGAACAATTTATCACTCATTATACTTTCAATGAGTTGATTGATTGCATTAATTTGTTTGATATGCGATGAAACTGGTTTATGAGTTAATTGTTTGCATTAATTTGTTTGATATGCGATGAAACTGGTTTATGAGTTAATTGTTTGCATTAATTTGTTCGATATGCGATGAATTTGTCTGTATGTGTTGTGTTTGTATATTCCAGATATTGTTAGGTGTATATTGCAAATATTGTTAATGTAGTTGGAATTTATAAGTAATTAGAGGTGCACATTGCAGATTGTACTGCCTTCAACCAACTTTAATTAGAGAGGCCTCTCTTAATTTTACTGTGCTTAATTTTCCAAGAATTTTACACCTATTTTCCCCCTGCATATATACTCAGTTGCCTGCATATAATTTCATCTTTCCCCAAAATGCATTATATCTTTGCTGTCTTTTGAGCATTTGAAGAGTACATCTTTCACTAAAAGACCTTGAAAAATATCAGATTGCAAAGGTCACCGAAGTGACAATCCCCCCACCCTACTCATCGATGACATATTGGGAATACTCTGCATTCAAGAATCCCATTGCTTGTGCCCAGGGCTCATGGTAGATAATTTGCCCGGTAGTGGTTAAAATTTGGAGTGTAGTGAAATATGGCTTTCAGGCTTTTGTTTGTAATTTCAGCTTTAGGCACTCCCAAACATTCTTGACAACTAGAAAGTTTGAGCGATGGGAAAGATTTGAATGACAGACAGTAGGCTGTGGAAGAGGTTAAACTCAGAGCCATGGGTATGAAATTAAACCCAAAGTCTTGCTTAAACCGATTAAAAGTATAAATTTAAAGTTGGAACAAAAAAGTGTCCTTTTTAGTTTTTTTAAAAACTCTGTAAGAAGCTTTTAGAATACCAAAAACTTGTTTGAGTGACTTTTCTTAACTTAGTAGTGATTGGTATTTATATATTTCATTTTTGTAAGGTGTTTAGGTTCTGACTTTTTTTTTAAAATATATATATAATTTAAAGACATGGAGACTATTCTCTTTGATTTTTACTGTAATATTTTCTTTGCCTTTCATGCAGATTTGTGTAACCTGAATATGTAATGATGCTTTTCACATCCTGTACAATTTTTTAACCGTTGCTGATGCATTTGATATCGATTTTGTTGTGTCTCAACTCTATGGGTAAGGGACTTGGTTTAGGTGTTAAGGTCAATGCTCTGTCGTTCCTTGATTAAATTTCTTATTTTTTAATTTGCGTAATGTAATTATTTAGCGTTACAACTTACTAGGCATTTATATCACTAGGGTACAACTTCTTGATTAAATTTCCATTTGTCATTTACTCATCCTGTATCTTAACCAAATTAAAGAATAGTTATGTATTATGGATGGGCTAAAGACTTAAAGGATTAAAGCTTTACAACTAGCATGTACTACTCTATATCAGGTCTCAAACCTGATTATGTGAGCGGGTTTTATCAATTCAAATCTAATGTTTTCTTTGTTTAATTGGTCTACTATGGCTTTCAGTGCACCTTGTTGTTTCCACTTGCGGGATGGACTGAATCCTTATTCCATGGTCTTTGCCCAAAATACTTTAAAGACTAAAGATTGCACATGTAATCTTGATCATACTTGATTGGTATTAGCCACTCTACAAGTCTCCATGGGCTTGAGTTAAATTGATGGCGAGATTTGCATCAGCTGGTGATCGGTTTTAGTGTAGTACTAGTATGATTTAGGAGCTTCACAGAATAATATAATGGCCTTGTTGATCATATTCATTACATTATTATTTATATGCAGTGATGCTGCTGGTTTTGAACTTGCATATGATTAACTCCAGTTGAGCTTTGGGATTAGTAGTGGAGTTACTTTGTCAAATGTGAATGCCAACTATGGTTTTTCGATTTCAAGTTCAAAAAGTTCTGTGTGTTTGCTGATATGTTGTTCTCTTGCTATTTTAACTCTTAACCCAGGTCTTCCTTGCTATTTTACTCAAATGTTTATGTTGGTTATATTGACTATATTGTGAAACAATAGGTGTACGAGGCATGTTTGGTTTATTGAATTATTGGATACTTATGCTTTTACTTATTGCTATGCATGTGACCTCACCAAAACTGAAAATGATATAGTTATATTGAGCTCTTGTGAGGTCTGTAGAGTGGATGTGGATCTTATTAGTAATTATTATTCTTGTAAATGGTAGCCTATTATGGTTTCTTTAGACTTGTTTATTCTTAGATAAATGTCCTGCCAAACTTTGCTTGCTTAATATTTTTGCTAACCTAGTACACTCTTCATGGACAAAAGTCTACTTTTATCAGCCATAGATGTAGATGAAACTGTTATATTTATCTACCTTCATGGACTAAGGCATTGTTTGCTAAACTAGGAGCAAAGGTTTATTTTTTCATAAGTTTGGGGTTGTGGATGTAAGAGGGTAATGTAGTTTCAAATGCGAACTTAGGGATTATGGAATTATTAGTTCAGCTCAAATTACAATCTTGTGAAGCATGTTAATATCGTATTTCTATGCCTAATTATTTGGTTATATTTTTTCATGGGTTTTTTTTATTTTTGTTGTGCATATTTGTGTAGCAGCTCAACCATGGTCTAGTAGTGGCTGAAGTCAAAGAGAACGATCAAGACTTTGGTAGAAGTGACTAAGGTTGGGCTACTATGTGGTTCGGACCAAGTGATATGGCTAGAGCAAAAGGGGACACAATACTAGACAAGCAAGGGTAAGTGGTTTTTGTGTAGGAATTTCATACTCCGCACCATTGTAAATTGGCTCATACTTCCGGGGATTGAAGGCGGTATCCCTGAGAAGGTGGTGTGTGCCAAGTGTGGAAGAAACTAGTTTGACGAATCTAAACTAAGCTCATCTAGGCACCATTTTGCCCGAATATGCCCAATATTGTCCAAAATAGCCCGTTTTGGTCCCATGTATCATCTGACTTAAGTCTATACAAAGCACTAATTATTATAATCTTTAAGGCCTATTTATGTTTCTCTTGTGTTTATGTGTTTTTGCAGTTGTGATTGTGTCTTAGGATCACAAACACTAATATATTATAAGCTTTTAGCCCTATTATTAACACAATCATACATCTATTTTTACCCCTGCCGTATTGCTATCTAAGCAGAACAACATGAGAGCCTTAAGAAATCAGAGGAGACTGTTGTTGTTAAGTCGTTGATGTTAATGTTTTCAATTTCAATAAAAGTACTTTTCAATTTCAATAAATTATCGAAAGTTATACTTCAAATGATAATATATTTTGGTTTAAGTGACAAACATATTATAAGTTAAGATGACAATAATTTATAAATTATAAGGGTAGATATCAATAAAAGTACTTTTCAATTTCAATAAATTACCGAAAGTTATACTTCAAATGACAATATATTTTGGTTTAAGTGACAAATCTATTATAAGGTGACTTCCTTTTTTTTTTTTTTTTTTTTTTTTTTTAAGACGTATCACTTGGTAAATTGTGGACTTCTAGACAATTTTTGTAGATGAAAGAAAGAGAGAATAAAAAAAATCTAATCTAATATATATAAATAAAGTAGGCATTTTTCGAGAGCATTCGGCGCGCCACATAAGTAAAGGTATTATTTCGACCAATTAAAAATTAGATTTATATTTTATTTTAGAAATAATAAATTCACTCGCCACCTAAGAAAAAGCGACGAATAAGATCTAAGAATTTTGCCACGTAGTTAAAACAACGAATAGTGATTTATTAGGATTTAATTTATTTAAAAAACTAAGAATTATTTTATAAAATCATCTTTAGATATAAGATTTATATATCTAAGATAAATCTTGATAGTGTTTATTATAAGAAATAAAAATTATTCCTTAATAATAAATAAATTAAAATTTGTGATGCATTATAAATTGATGCATCCTATAACACCAACAAAATTTCATATCAATACAAAACCAAATCAAGCGAATTTTGTGTCAGTTTTAGTCATCAATGGCTGAATAATTCTTAGCTTAATTTTTAAAATCCATGTTTAAATGTATATTTGTGATTATTGCTTACATTGTGTTTAATTGGAATAATTAACGATTATATGTTTATGTTTTGTTTACTAAATTTTGTTTTTACACGTAGATCTGATTTAATCAGAGAATTAGATTCGAGCAAAAATGATTGAAAAATCAAAGTACGAGTTTCTCGCCTGATGGTCCCATTGGATGAGAAGGTATTATATCTTTATAAATTGTTTACATTTATTAAATTTTTTTTATAAAGCTTTGTAGTTTATATTAATTAATTTTATGATTAGAACAATTTTTTTGCGATTTAGGTAGCTTAATCAAGTCATGAAATTAACTTAATTTTGATTACGTTCATACCTCAAAGCCAACTTTGTACAATTCGTCCAAAATTAATTCAAAGAAAAGCTTACTCAATTAAATATTTTTCATTCGTTACAAATAAAAAGCAATATTGCACGCATTGTCAGTGACAAAAAAATAATGATTCAATTTTCCAAAATACTATTGTTCGGGCGATTAGGGACGATGAAAAAATTCCAATGCATATATTTGATTTTGTACAATTACAATTTTTAGATCAATTTCACAACAATTTTTCACTTCCTGGTAAATATATTAATTTATTTTATAAGACTATAACGATTAATTTTATATAATTTTTTTTGCTAACATGTTTTATTTATCCACTTTTATTAGATGGAAGAGACATGGGTGTGAACAAAGTAGGTGATTCTATTGAAATAGAAGATAGATAGTATATATGTTTTTATTATTTATTATTATTATTTCAATTTTTTTAAAAACAACTAATAATGATTTAGGATTTAAATTATTCAAAAAATGAAAAAAAAAATTATCTTTTCATATTAAAGATTTTAACCTAATATGTAATCGATAAAATATCATATTTACAACTTTTTTTTTTTTAGATATCATATTTACAATTTGTTCATATTATTAAATTCCGTTGTCATATAACTAACAACAACGAATAAAATACAAAAAAAAAAAAAAAAAAAAAAATAAGTCGCATAATAAATTACATTAAAAAAAATAAAATTATACTTTTGTAATAGGCAATAACACTTTAATTAAAACATTATGTGTTTTTGTTGTCTAAAATGATTAAATAGTAAAATAAATCATATAATTATATATATATATATATATATATATATATATATATATATATATATATATATATATATAAACTTAGAGTCTATAGGAAACTATCTTTTCTTGAGATTTATGTATGAAAAAAAAACCTTGCATTGCCACCTAGATAAAAGTAACGAATTAGATTTGATATATCTAAAATTTTAATGCCACATAGATTATAATCCATGAATTAAATTATTATAATGAAAAAAAATAAAGTAAAAATATAGGAAAAGATAAATTTATTAATTCAATACTGCAAGTATAAGAAATCCAAAAAAAAATACTAAAAAAAATTTAAATGATAAACGCTTATAATAAAGTTTGAAACCTATCATATAAGATAAATTTTGAATAGTATTCATGATAAGAAATACAAATTGTTCGTTAATTATAATTAAATTAAAATTTGTGATACCTACCATTATAAATTGACACATCATACGACATAAACAAAATTTTGTATCAATAAAAAAACCCCATCAAGAGAATTTTGTGTTAGTAATATTATGTTAATTTTTTGTCATCAATGGTCTGGTAATTTTTAGCTTAATTTTTAAAATCCTATGTTTAAATTAATATTTCTAATTATTACTTACATTGTATTAATTTGGGATACTCAACGATTATATGTTTATGTTTTATTTACTAAATGTTTTTTTTTACATGCAGCTCTAACACATCATACGAAACAAATAAAATTTCGTATCAATACAATACCCCATCAAGTGAATTTTGTATTAGTAATTTTGTGTTAGTTTTAGGTCATCAATGTCTAGGTAATTTTTAAAATCTTATTAGTTACATTGTATTTATTTAGGATACTTAACAATTATTTGTTTATGTAATGACATACGATTAGATGTTGTATACTTAATATATGGATGGCTTTGGTTATTTTTAGAGTGATGAAAAATTTCAATGCATAGATTTGGTCTTATATCGCAACAATTTTTCATTTATTGGTAAATATATTGATTTATTTTATATAAATGTAAAGATTTAATTTGCATCAATTTCAATTTGGTTAACATTTTTATCCATTGATGTAGTAGGTTGCTTGTGGACGAGGTTGGTGATGCTATCGAAATTAAAGATATGGTAAAACAATGAATAATGATTTAGGATTTAAATTATTAAAAATTTATCATTTCACACTAAAGATTTTATAAAACGGAAAAAATATCATATTTACAATTTATTTATATTTAATAATCATTATAAATTATAGTAAAAAAAATATTAAACTTTTGTTGTCTGAAATTATCAAATACAATAAATCAAATAATTAAAAATAGATGAAAAAATCGTGCATCGCACGGGGTTCTATCTAGTATATATAAATAAAGTAGGCATTTTTCAAGAGCATTCGGCGCGCCACATAAGCAAAGGTATATTTTCGACCAATTAAAAATTAGATTTCTATTTTATTTTGGAATTAAAAAATTCGTTTGCCACCTAAACAAAAGTGACGAATGAGATTTAAGAATTTTGCCACGTAAGTAAAAACAACGAATATTGATTTATTAGGACTTAATTTATTCAAAAAAACTAAAAATTATCTTTTAAAATAATCATCTTTAGATATAGGATTTATATACCTACTATTATAAGATAAATTTTGATAGTGTGTATGATAAGAAATAAAAATTATTCCTTAATTACAATTAAATTAAAATTTGTGATGTTTACCATTATAAATTGACGCATCATATGATATCAACAAAATTTCGTATCAATACAAACCAAACCAAGCAAATTTTGTGTCATTAATTTTGTGTCAGTTTTATTAGGTCATCAATGGCTAGGTAATTCTTAGCCTAATTTTTAAAACCCATGTTTAAATGTATATTTGTGATTATTTGGGATACTTAATGATTATATGTTTATGTTTTGTTTACTGAATTTTGTTTTTACATGCAGATCTAATTTAATCAGAGAATTATATTCGAACAAAAATCTTTGGAATATCAAAGTACGAGTTTCTCACCTGATGAGGAGGTATTATATCTTTATAAATCGTTTACATTTATTAAATCTTTTAATGAACCTTTTAGTTTTTATCAATTAATTTATGATTAAACCAAATTTTTTGTGATTTAGGTAGCTTAATTAAGTCATAAAATTAACTTAATTTTTTTTAATTACAGGGTAATTACGTTCATGCCTCAATTAAAGTCAACTTTGTTCTACAATTTTGTTCAAAATTGATTGAAGGAAAAGTTTACTTCATTAGATACTTTTCAGTCGTTACAAATAAGAAGCAATATTGTCAGCGACAACAAAATGATGATTCAATTTTCCAAAATACTATTGTTTGGACGATTGGGGGCGATAAAAAAATTCCAATGCATAGATTTAATTTTGTATAATTACAATTTTAGATTAATTTCACAACAATTATTCACTTTTTGGTAAATAATTTAATTTATTTTATAAGACTATAAAGATTAATTTTATATAAATTTTATTTTTGCTAACATGTTTAATTTATCCACTTTTATCAGATGGAAGAGATATGGCTGTGAACAAAGTTGGTGATCCTATCGAAATTTTTTTTTAATACAAATTTTTTTACATCGAAATATTACATCTAATAACTATTATTTTTAATGTTCTTATCAAAATATTTATTAGGGGAATAAATTACATAAAATTAATAAAAAATTATCCTTAACAAACAATAGCAAAGTAATTAAAAATATTATGAGTTTGATCTAATTACAAAAGTTATTTTTATGAGATTTTATGTATAAAAAATCGTGGGATATTAGGATTTAAATTATTAAAAAAATAAAAATTATCTTATGAAATTAATGGTTTTATCTAAATAC